TCTTTAGCATGGGTCAGTCTTGGCTGCTCCAGGCATTTGGGGATTGGAACCCATAAACGGGAGATTGCATTTGCCCAGTCTCTCAAAAAAAGTTTTTTATTTTTTAAAGAAAAGGTAGAAAATATTCGTAAGCTACTATATTTTAACTATCTAATTACATGCACATCTTTCCTCACTATTAACTTGCTTCAAATAGGCGCCTCATCTTCTGCATCTTACATCTTTGCAGCTTCCTTAAACAATGCTGCAAATTTTTACTAGACTTTAGACTCATGGGTGGAGAAAGATAAAGGATGACACCAGGGATTCCAACTTACACATGATTACCAAAAATTTTAACATCACTGTCATAAAATAATAGGACCTGGAAGATAGAAACAATCCAAAAAAAATTTGCTAAGTTATTGTATAAACAAAAAATATACTACAAGGTACGTGATATTTGTGTTTTATTATAAGTGTACTTAAATTCCCACAGGAGGGAAGGCATGTGGGAATTTAAGTATGTAAGCATAAATTACATAGTGACTGAGAAGTCACTAAGGAAGTAAGATTTAAAAAATTAAAGAATATTTGCCAAACATTTTGCTTTCCATGAATACACATAGTAACAATTCTTACTTATGTGATCAACAAGCGTAAGACAGATAAAGTGAAGGAAAGAACAAAGTTTGAACTCAAACTTTAAACATCTAATTTCTCCATTTCCAGCCATGAGGATTTAGGCAAGTTCCTTTATTGTTTTTGGCCTTGGTTTCCTCATTTTTAATGTGATGGCAGCAATAACAAATTCAGGTGGTGGTGCTCTGACATAGCAAACTAAGCCTCTGCCTTTGACTATTGTATCCCACACACACGGGTGCCAGTCCAAGTCCCAGTTGTTTCACTTCCAATCTCGCTCCCTGATAATTTGGGAAAGCAGAGGAAGATGGTTCAAGTGTTGGGATTCTTACAACCACATGGGTGATCCAGAAGGTTCACTGGGATCCTGGCTTCTACCTGGCCCAGCCCTCCCTCGTTGTCATTTAGGGAGAGAATCAGCAGATAGAAAATTCTGTCTTACCCCTTTTCTCTGTACCTCCAACTAACAAATAAACAAAAACCTTAACTCAGTTAAGTCACAAGGAAACCAGAAAAACTAATGAGAATACATTTGTTGAAAGCTTATTAGCACAGTTCTCAATTTAATGTTTCCTTCAAAGTAAACGGATTAAAAAAACCACGACATCATATAATACCTCTGTCCAAACTACCATTTCATTCCTAATAGTCTACTAAAAACCTAGTAGAGAATGAATCTAACAGAACAATTATGCTTTCCTCTTGGAATTAAAAAGATTAAGAGCATCACCATTACCTGTGTCCTCAAGATGCAATGACGGGTTAAACCACTGCCTATGACAGCATCATCCCCTACCAGAGTGCCAGCTCAAGTCCCAGCTGCTCTGCTTATACTTCTGCTTCCTACTAATGTATTTGGGGAAGTAAAGGGTGACAGCCAAGTGATTATGTTCTGCTATCCACAAGAGACTCAGAGTTCTGGGTTCCCCTCTTTGGCTAGGCTGATCCAGCCTGGGCCATTCTGGCCATCTGAAGAGTGAACTAGTGAATGGAAGGTCTTTTTTTGTCTCTCTTTCTGTCTTTCAGAGAGAGAGAAAGAGAGAGAAAGAGAGAAAATCTCACAGATTTTAGTGAACACTGGCACAGTGATAGCACTCTCCCAAGACAGCTGTTGTTAAAATGAGAAATGGTTTTAAATGTCAGCATTGGGATGCAGAAATTAATCTCCAAATATTGTTACACATCTGATTACCAAGGGAGGATTTCAAATTTCTGCTTCATTAAAGACCTTGAAAATGAACAGAAAGTCTTTTGTGCTATGACCAATTAATGGGTAATGTAAGTTATTAAAGTTGTGGATATACCTCTAAATAAAGTTTACCAATCAGAGCAATACAATCTATATGTAATGGTACTTAAAAAGCTGGAAAAAGGTCATTTCAAATAGATGAAATAACCCAAGGAAGAGCAGAGGGGGAAAAATGCTAATGGCAATCAATACTCACACATTATACACACCATAGCACCGTATCTACTACATTCTTCAAGTCACATCAAAACGATCAAGTAAATATGCTTTATTTCCCACTTTCCTAAAAAAAGTCAAGCTCTGCCATTTTACTCTCCCAAGTCCAGGGCTCAGTAGGAACACCAGAAGATGTGTAACTGACGATCAGCTGATGGGCAGTTTACTGATCCTGACTGCTCTCAGATGCTAACTGCTTGCTTCTTGTTTCACTGTCATAATCAGGTACAGTTCCTTCAAAAGTTTATCCACACAGGTTTCTCTCTTCACATGCTGTCAACCCTTACTGTCACATATGAGATACAAGAAATGTTCTCCAGTATAATACACAAGAACAAAAATTGTTAAGAATCCACTGATTTTTCTATCTATAGCCATAGAAAGAGAAAGATCTACAACTTCTAAATTACAATGCAAAATGATGTGTATAGTAAGCGGTAGTTGCAGATTTTAGTAGGGGGCGGGGGCCAAGGTCCACAGTTTACCTAAGATTCCCAAAACAGCCTTAATTTTAGATCTTTAATAACCGATCCAAAAACCTTTGATGATTCCTGTATTCAAAAATCTGATATGCCATACCTATGAAGACTTCCCTATGCACTCAGCTAAAAACTAACATTATCAGCATTTCTGCTTCCCCAGTATATTACATTGCCACTGCAGCACCTGCCGTGCTCTAGACAGATTCCCTAACAAGAACGTAACTAAAGTCATGACTCAAAGTCTCACTGTTTCATAAGTGACACAGTACCCCATATATTATACGTGTTCAAGATAGAATTATAAATGTACTTTTCAGGGAAATTTAACTATTATTAAACAAAGATAAAAACTATATGCAATAAAATGTCTTGGAAGGATAACGCAATTTCATCACCCAACTTAGAGAAAATACACATACTAATTACAAACATACAAATTCATACCCACAAACTCTTTCACAACAAATCTTTGTAAGAAAGCCTTGAATGAAGTCTGTAAACTGTAAAATATCACCACACATTCATTAATCATGATCATTACTGTCTATAATCCTTGACCATAGTGTAACTACTAAACCATTACCATTCTTTAGTACAGTTCTAGTAAGCTTTCTCTATGTCAAAATTAATTCACTGAAAGAAGTAATTATGTTAAGATGATTTATAGATCAGATGCCAGGATAAACTACACTTGAAAAAAATGAAAGATATACAAAGGTACTAAGATAAGTTTTATATTTCATAATTAAATTTAGTACATAAAACTAAGCATGCTAAATTTTAAAACAAAGATATATTAAATCTTTTGTTTCTATTGGTTTAAGTGTTCAGTTTATTGTTGTTAGTTTTCCACAAGATTTCAGTGAGTTGCAGCAGTTGGTCAATTTTAAGGATACTCTGTACTTCACATAAGCAATCTAGAACATGGAAAAAAACATGTTTTTCACCCAAAATGGCTTATCTGAGTAGCTTCAAGGCTCTACAGTGTACTGTTATTGGAAGACAAGCAAAAAAAAAAGTACGAAAGAAAAACTCTGGGACAAATTTAAATACTAAATAATTGATTTTCTTTTGTATAGTGAAATCTCCACAGGAAATTTCTAGCAATAAAAACCAAGCCCACGGACTAGTCTATTTCTGTTCTTACACTCAAAATCATATGCCAATTATTCAGAAATAAATATTAGAAATGTTTTTAAGTATTTGTTATATATGGTCCTTTACAATGTACCAACTTTTGCAGAAATGTTAGTTAAGAAACATAATATGATTTTAAGTTAATTATTAATTAATTAATAATAGAGGGCATCATTAATTCATATACAGAAAACAGCATAATAGAAAACATAGTGTGGATTATAGATAATCAGAAAATTTAAATTCCAGATTCCAACTTCACCACTAAGGATCTTGGCCAAATATTTTCATAACCTCTGAGTCTTATTTCTTTGTAAATAATGGAAGTAGAAGGGTTGTTTTTATATTTGATTTAAAAAATTATACTTTGGTCTATACGAGCAAAGCTTTATACTCAAAAGGAACAGAAAGTATGTGCATGTTAATGCTGACCTACAAGAATTTTTACTCAGCATTATACACTTAAAATTCAAAACAAAAAAAAATTTTAAGTATGAATTTATAATAAGTACACTTTTAAAACACAAATGCAAGAACAAGCAAACAAGAAATAAACAGTTTAAGTGCATTAATAAAAGTATCATCACAGGAAACCACATAGCTAATCTTAGAAATGATTTCTTCTATTAAAAATGGTGGTAATAGTAATATTATGAACATCTTGAACTTGACAACATAATATTAAATTAACACTTAATTACTAATTGATTCTGAAACAAACACATTTTACTCTGAAAAGCCACAAACTCCATTAAAAGCAGCTCCGAGTTACAAAAAAATGCAGCTGTTCTAAACTGAACATATACAACTATAAAATGCCAAAAGAATGCATGGGGGCCATAGAACATTTCTAATGTTGTGCTTTGTGAGAATCATTTGGAAATAAAAATCATACATGTCATGTAATTCAATTTTCAAATTTATCAATAAGTGAGAGGCCCCCTGAACTACTGTCCCATTAACAAACTCCTCAGGTTGTAAGTGCTACACTCACAGCAGGAGTCTTTCTTACACAAACAACATGCGAACAGCTCTGGTCAAGGACCAGAAACTTACTTACCAAGAAAATCAAGGAATTTTAACAGGACTGTACTGAGGTTCAAAAGGAATATAAAAATGTGGCAACTATTAATTTGCCATGACCATGTAATTTTGTCAATCAAACTAATTGTTGTAGATCAAACCCATTTAATTATTTTAAGGTAAAACCTTACTCCTGAAAATTATGAAGCACAAAATATCAATTAAGATCTTTAAATAGGCCATCAAATTTGTTTTTTAAAAAAATGTCTTACTGTAATGAAGTCATTCCCTTTAACCATTCTTCCTTGGTAAAAAATCCCATGCTTTCAGCCTCCAATTTCCACGCTAAAACTAACATAATAATCTGGAAAGAACAGAACATAAAGGATAGGGGAAAAGTCAGCATAGAAATAATCTTGTCTATATTTATCACGGAGAACATTTCTATAAAACTATTTCCAATCTTCAACTAAACCTCTGGAATTATTAATTGTAAAGAAATTGAAATGTGCTAACATTTTAAAAGGCAGCTAATAAAGACAGATCTCCCTTTACCACAAACGACATTTGTAGCAAGAACTCTTCCCCAACTTAAACTATTTAACACTACCCTAACAGTAAGTTTATAATCTTAAACATGAAACAATTTATCATACACTATTAAATTGTCTCAATTTTTAAAAACTTATCAATGATAAAGCCCACTTATATTCTACTTAGGAATAAAACATACATTTTCAGGTTCAACACCAATGTCTTCACAAAATTTTTCCATTCCTTCTGGCCCTACAACTTCATCAGGACCTTCAAAAACAAAAATAATTCATATATTGTTACTTAATATCAGAATAAAATACAAGTCAATATCTAAAGGCAACCATGAATACAACATATTATGCAAATAACTGAATTAGAATTTTGCCAGAGCTTCAATAAAATATATTCACTATGGGATTTAATATATTTGAAATATTCACTGACTGTATTACAATATAAAATTAAAATTTAAAATGCAGTAAAAAAACAATACATTACTATTAGCTACAACTTTGTACAAAAATTTAACATTTATTCCGCAAATGCAATGAATAAAAATGTGATAATGCAGGAGTAAAAAGCATAAGAATGGAACTACCAGAATGTGTCAGAACCAATGCACAATAGTCATTAGGAGAATATCCATCTCTTGGCAAAACACACGATTTATTCATAACCCCCTCTGAAACACAAATATTGTTGTATTCTTGAACAAAATTACTCTATGAAAAGTTTATGGAAATTACTGTAGTTCCACAGATATTTTTATCATTTTGGTCCTAAAATAGAGCAAGGCATAACTAATAGTTATGTCACCTTACTGTAGAAACAAAGCTTTATTCTCTAACCTAACTCATAGTAATGATTTGTCCCAGAATAACTGTATTCAACTCTTAAGTTATTCCCTTAGCACATAATACGTAAATACATCAATTCTCATTTTGCTCTTAGACTCCCACAAAATGGTAAGTGGATCACATTATAAAAGCAAATTTTATAATGTAAAATGATAAAAACGTTTTACCATATTAAGAATATAGTATTAAAATGTATTGTTAAAGTAGCCAAGACAAGCTTCTCTTTTCCTTAAAGACTTGAAATCACTCCAGCTTTACAGACCACAGACTAAGTCAAAGATGCCGACACAGATGTCACAGCATCACTGTTAGGACAGAAGTGAACGTGAAGCCAAGGTTCTACAGCTTTTCTTAATAAAGTAATACACTTGTACAAAATTAGGTCAATCCATTCTTAGAGCCTGACATGAGATCCAGGCTGCAAGAATTAAGTTAATACAGTGTCTAAAAACCTAAATTTACTTCTAGTCTTTCTGTAAAATGGTGTCATTTGAATAACTAACAATGTACTGAGGTCTTAAAAGCTGAAGGATATGTTAAAAGGTGAAGGTCTTAAAAAGTGAAGGGCACTTTTGCTGCCAAAACAAATGGGAGAATGGTTTATGAGAATGGGCCAACTCTGTAATTCAAAATTATACATGTACAATAAATCAAGGACCAGATAAAAACTTAATAGAAGTAAAAAAGGTGAAAAGGAGTTTCTAAACTATGACAAGAATACATTCTATGTTTAAAAAAAATTAAAAAGCAGACTTGTCTTAAAGGTTGCCATTAGTGATTAGGAAATAAATCTCAAGTGTTAGATCAAAATGAGTTACTATCATAAATCATAGCACACTCTTCCTGCCATATACAGAGATTTTGTCAATGATTGGTGATTAAATTTGAATGAAGACAAATTAGGTTAAACACATATAACACATACATGACAGATACAGCTAGACTGTAAGAATTAAAAGAATTTCTTAAAACAAGCAGTGACATATTTAAAGGAAGGTCTATTCCAATGATCTTTTATAACTACATAGAAGTGTTCCCAGGCACATCTGCAGGACCTAATACCTGCCAGTCACAGCAGGTGCTGGAGGGGCCGGGAGAACTGTGTTCAGTGACACAGGACTTCCAGCACGAGCAATCAAGAAGTAGCTGTTAATTTTGGAACAACATCGGGAAAGGTGATCAGTAAGTCCAATACTGAGCTAATCATATAACATACAGTGCTAAGGGCTTTACATTTCAGTGGCCATAAATCCTGTCTCCATTTTAGTAAAAAACATCCCTATATCAGAATAGTACAGTTTCTGTTTATTTGCCGAACAACTAGTTCCTCCATATCAATTAAGTTTCTGCCCAAAGTAGCATCCAGAGAACCGGCTTATCCAATTCTTCCTTTTTAGCGGAACCTCTTCACACTTAGCACCTGTATGACCTCTGCACTGTGTAATTATCTTGCCCACATATCTGCTCACTGACTGTCTTGCTTACCCAGACGTTTGGTGTCCTGAGAGCAGGGATCTTATCTGACTTGTTCACTACTCTTAGCACTTGGCATGGTACTAGACTCATAGTTAGCAGCTCACTAAGTATTCACAGTAAGTTAGCTTCAAGTGCATTTTCTTCTCAAAAATAAAAATGAAAAAAAAGCCAAACACATATTTAAATGAAAAGAAGCCAAACACATGTTTAAATAAAAATTCAACTTTACAAGACAGAAGAATTAAAAACATGGGTTGAATCAAGTCACCTGTCACTGTATAACCTTGGGCAAATTACTTAATCTTAGCTTCGGTTTTCTCACTTATAAAACAGGAATAGCACCAACTACTTAACAGAATGATCATATGGAAATGTGTTATACTTAGCCCAATTCCTGGAATAATGACAACGATGGTTATATCAGCTATTTTAAAAATGCATATGGAGGAAATTACTGTTTAGTCAAAATCTTATATCACTCAGGAAGTTTTGCAGAAGTCTAACAAGTGCACATGAAAGAAAACATTTACTCATTATTGTTATGTTACCTAGCAACAACTTTCATAAAAATAGTATCTTTTGATTCTGCATCATGTAAATTGCTAAAACTGGCATTTGAAATAGTGGGTCATCATGTTAAACAGAGGTCAGGACAAAAACGAGTTTGCTTCATTTAAAATGGGTTAGTGTTGTCTTGGGATGCCAATAATAGCATTTCTTTTTCTGGTATATAAAGAATCTATTTTTATTCTACTAAGCAATTTTTACATTATACTTTAGGGATGACTCAACTGATTCCAATAGTGAAGCTACTGTCTCCCTTTAAAAACAGTTTCAATTTTCATAGTTAGTCTAATCTTTAAGTTCCGTGTATATTTGAAACCTTAATACACATTAGGAGTAACTGTAAAAAATATGACAACACAAACACAGGGAAGCATGTAAGAAAAAGAAGCAGTGATAGGAAAAATTAAAAGTTATAACACCAGCAACTCAAGAAGACCAAAACCACTACCAAAATACTACCATATATGCTTAAGTTAGTAGCAAATGTGAACCGAGTTACATTTTTCTAATACTTGTTTCACTCTTTCAAGCTAAATTGGGCTGGCTCTGACTTTTACCTCCTGTGGCCAAGGGCCTGCCTGGAGCCTCTAAGTAGCTTTCCCTGATGTGTTCAAGGCTAGGTTATACAAGAAGACTTCAAAAAGCTTACATGAAATAGCTAAGTTTATTTTTGTGCAAAATTTTATTGAAATCAGGGTCCAGTGTGGTAGCCTAGTGGCTAAAGACCTCACCCTGCACGTGCTGAAATCCCTTATGGACGCCAGTTCTAATCTCAGCTGCTCCACTTCCCATCTAGCTCCCTGCTTGTGGCCTGGGAAAGCAGTTGAGGACGGCCCAAAGCCTTGGGACCCTGCACCCGTGTGGGAGACCTGGAAGAGGCTCCTGGCTTCAGATCAGCTCAGCTCCAGCCGTTGTGGCCACTTGGGGAGTGAACCAGCAGATGGAAGATGATCATCTTTGTCTCTATCGCTGGACATCTTTCCAATAAAAATAAATAAACCTTTAAGAATTTTACTGAAATCGATGTAATTCATATAACACATTTCTCATCAACTTTTTGAAAACCTACCCCTCTTATACTGCTATAAACTCTTCATAGTGTATGTCTAAAATTAGCATTTATCACATGGTATTAATATCAAACTATTTACTTTCTCACTTATATTGCATCTTGAATAAAAGCTTATTATATGCACATGTTTATAAATCTTATATACTGAATCACTTCAGTTTCAGAAAATATTAGTTCATAATTCAGATGTTTTAAAAGAGTATTACATAGAGAAACGTTTTCATGCATTGTTTTCCAGAATACCACTTCAGTCAATGGGTATAAATTATTCAGTGAGTCTGTCTATTGTTGACATATTTTACAAATAGTAAATAAATTGCCACTCTCCCACTAGCTATATGCTGAATACGTACTTAAAGCAATGGCACGGACTTCTTAGCCTACCCACACCCTCAGCCTTGTTCTGATTCAATCACTAGCAGGCCTGCAATAAACAATTTGTTAAACAAACAGAACAATTTTTTAGAGCATGTGACTGGTATCTTCTTATATTAGTTTAATTACCTGCATACTCATAAAACCAAGCCAGGCACTTCTTGCTTGAAAAATGTTCCTCTCCACTTATTACTCTAGCAGGGGGTTGGGATCTGCAATAGCTTAGAAAACACAAATGCCTAAGATTTTTATTAAGTCTCAACTCTTAGGGAAACACTAAGTTCAGTAAGAACTACTTCAATTCAAATAACCAAAGTATTTTTAGAAGTTGACATTAAAGGGGGAAAAACAAACCATTTGCAATTTAGCAGTCTAGAGGTAAAGATTTCAGGATAACAAACTCCAAATGCTCTTTTGCTCACTATTACATTCCAAAATATCAACGGAAATGATATCCCCAAAATCCAAAAGGTTACACAGAAGTTCACCCAAGTGTCAATGCAGAACTAGTAGCTGGGAAACTAAAATCTACATTGTGTCTCTGCTACTGACTGACTTAAGAATGCTATTCGGTTATAAAAGGTATACATTTGAAACAAAATGTTACAAGTTACATTTAGATACTTGACTAATAGTTTAAAAATAAAATTGTACATTGAGGTGCCCATTTATCATCTATTAAGCTAAAATAAAAGATAAATGATTACCCAAGACCTAGATACCATAAATTCCATAAATTAAAAAAAAACTAAAAGTTAACAACTATTATTAATTGGCTGAAAGCTATTTAATCCCAGACAAAATAACTTTGAATTTTTTTTTCATAAACTCACTGAAGGTTGATTAGTTCAAAACCAGCCTATAGGATTTCATGGACTTCAGAGTACCTTGAAACTCAAATAATTACAGAACAATGATAGAGAAATGGAACTGAGTATTATAAAGCACAGATGCCATGTTACAAACCTTTACATTGAAAGAGTAAAGCACCTGATTTCTAGCAACAGTGAGTTTGGTGTAAGTAATGCTGGAACAGTATACACTTAAAGATGGTTACAGAGTAACTTAAAAACTAATGTTTGTTTCATAAAAATGAGTCAATATTCAAAATCCTACTGCTAAGGACCAAAAGGTATTAAAAAAAATTTTGCTGTCATTTCAAACATCCTCAGAAATACTCCCGAGTCTCCTCTGCCAAAATACAGTATATGAACAAAAATCCCCAATGACAAAGATGAAGACTAGATTAAATCACCTACATCACTTTAAGCAGCACATGTCTCTTGTAAGAGGAACTCGTATTTCTTAAGTGCTGCCTACTGTCTTCTTTTAATGGCAGCATCTGACGTTGTCACATTAGGTGCCAACAATTGACAGACTCCCAAAAGAAATAATCAAAACAAAACAACCCACCAGTCCATCTCTCCATCTCTCTTTTCCAAATCGCAATAATTTATTCTCCTTTCTGCATGCCATGGTGTCAGAGCACTGTAACTCCCTTTTGGCCCTGACTTGTTCACCCCTCACCCCTCAGAAGGGAGGACAATAGCTCCCAAGTCACTATCACAGGCACGGAGGGCTAAGGGCACTCTGGACGTCAGAAAACAGAAAACACCTTGGGTCTTGGCACAGATGGCACAGTGCAGCTGCAGACACTGCGGTCCCTGCCATAGACCAGGCCTCCAGCTGAACAGGTGCGTCTGCATCAGGACACTTCTAACACCTGAGCGCTGCAGCCCACCCTCCCCTCCACCAGCCCCAAGGCTGTGGGGTAAGCCAGGCACTGTTCTCGCTCTGTTCCAAACTATCATTGACCCTTTGGCAGGTCAGTATTCACTTCCAAGTCTAGAGCGGAAAAAACACGGCAGGAGGGGTAGAGGAACCAGAAGCCTCTCCACGTGCTTCTGCTTCCCCAACCTCCCGGACAGGGCGATTCCCCAGGTGCCCCGTGAAGGCCAAGGCGCGCACACAAGGAGGCGAGCTCGAGGCAGGTGCCCAGCCCCTCCCGGCTGGCTCGAGGCGGGGAGGGGAGCTCCTCTCCCTCCGGAGGGGCCCCAGGCCCCCTGCTCCCCCAGGCGCCCAGCCTCTCTCTCTCCGGCCCCAGCTCCCCTGCTCCCTCAGGCGCCCAGCCTCTCTCTCTCTCTCTCCGGCCCCAGCTCCCCTGCTCCCCCAGGCGCCCAGCCTCTCCCTGCTCCCTCAGGCGCCCAGCCTCTCTCTCTCCGGCCCCAGCTCCCCTGCTCCCTCAGGCGCCCAGCCTCTCTCTCTCTCTCTCTCTCTCTCTCTCTCTCTCTCTCTCTCTCTCTCTCTCTCTCTGGCCCCAGCTCCCCTGCTCCCCCAAGCGCCCAGCCTCTCCCGGCTGACTAGGGACCTCCTCTCCCTCCGGCCCCAGGCCCCCTGCTCCCCCAGGCACCCAGCCTCTCTCTCCGGCCCCAGCTCCCCTGCTCCCTCAGGCGCCCAGCCTCTCTCTCTCTCTCTCCGGCCCCAGCTCCCCTGCTCCCCCAGGCGCCCAGCCTCTCTCTCTCCGGCCCCAGCTCCCCTGCTCCCCCAAGCGCCCAGCCTCTCCCGGCTGACTAGGGACCTCCTTTCCCTCCGGCCCCAGGACCCCCGCTCCCTCAGGCGCCCAGCTTCTCCCTGCAACCCCAGGCGCCCAGCCTCTCTCTCTTTCCGGCACGGGACCCCCGGCTTCCCCCAGGCGCCCCCAGCCAACGGGGAAGACCGGATGGCAGCTCTACCTGGAGATCTTACACTTCTTGAGGCCTCCGTCTTCTGCCACCGCCGCTGCCACCCCGGTGGATTTTCTCTTCTTCTTCACCGGCATCTTCCTCCCTCCCCGGCGGAGCGGGCAGGGGAGCCGGGGAAGGGGGTCGCTGCCCGCTGGAGGCCCCTCAGCGCGGACGCTGCGTCCCCCGCACCACACCGCACCTGGAGGCGTCGGCCCGGGCCCACAGCTCCCCAGACTCCACTCGATGTTCCGTCCCGGGACACGGCGGGCGGCTCCTCGCTCGTGCCCACCGCGGCTCGGTCTCTCTCGGAGGGAAGATTGCGGGCAGCGCGGACCCTTCACCAGGCACGGGGAACACACAGCTCAGCCCGACCCGGACTTGAACCGCTGCTGCCCGGAAGTGACGGCAGCGAGGAGCCGGTGCCGGAAGGGGCGGGGCTGGGGGGGTCCCCCGGTTCAGCCGCAGGGGGAGCCCGAGGTGATGGAGGACCGGCTGCCCTCAAAACCAGCGTCCTAGGCAGAGCATCGCTTCTCAGGAGACCGCCCCCACCCCAGCTCCCTTCTGAGCCCTTGGGAACTGTAACCTGACCCTCAGGGTTCTCACCTTTCAATGCCTTGTCAGGGTCTTTACCGGCCTGTGATGAGCTTAGCTCACTTCACTCTTTACTGCTGCTCCCCCAGTGAAGTTTAACTCTACACTTTTAACTTACCTGGAACCCACCTCTCAGAGGTAAGAGGTGACAGCTAACTGCATGGAAAGGAATTTAACGGAGTGTTTGTACTTAGCGTAGAGTGGAAAGGGGAAAGACTAGAGATGCAAAGGAGAACTTTCTGGATGTTAGATAAACTATGCCTTGATTGAGGCGATGCTATGTGTACTTGTCCAAATTATTGAATGGTACCCTCATCTGAATTTATCTCACAAACGGGGCCAATTGATGGCCTACCTATGAGCAGTATAGAAATACCTTGTTGTGTAAGCTTTAAAACAAGTTATTTATTTATTTGAAAGAGTAACAGAAGGAGAAGGAGAGAGTTCTTTGATTCACAGTTTTACTCCTCAGAGAGCTACAAAAACGCAGATGTGGACCACACTGTACCCAGGAAGCAGAAACTTCATCCTCTCCCATATGGGTAGCAGGAACATTAACCTTAGGGCCATCTTTTCACTGCCCTGCCTCATTAGGGTTGAGTCTGATTGGAGGTGAAAATAGGTGGGACTTGAACCAGCACTCTAGCATGGCATCGACATAAGCAGCAGTCGGATGTGCTATGCCACAATGTCTTCCCATAGTTACATGGTTTTAGTTGTGTTCTGCTGCCACCAACATGTGGATTTTGATTTTTTTTTAATGCTTCACCCAGAGCTACTATGTGAAAGTACTGTGGTTCTTCATTGTGCAGTAGAACAAATGTTAAATGAGAAATAATGGAAGAAAGGAAGGGAAGTATTTACTTTCAGGAAAAACTCAGGTGATCTGGTTTCAGGTGCAAAAATGACATTGAGTAACTTTAGGAAAGGCTCATCTCTCATGTTACTCCACAATGTACAAAAGAATGTAAAAAGACACAAGTCAATGGTAACCAGTTACAAGAACAGAGTGGATAAGTAACCTTAGGAGGCATGGTGCCATGGCCTAGTGGCTTGCATGTGCTGGGATCCCATATGGGTGCAGATTCATGTCCCAGCAGCCCCACTTCCCATCCACCTCCCTGCCTGTAGCCTGGGAAAGCAGTCAAGAATGGCCCAAAGCCTTGGGACCCTGCACCTGTGTGGGAGACCCAGAAGAAGCTTCAGGCTTTTGGCTTGGGATCAGCTTAGCTCCAGCTGTTGCGGCGTTTGGGGAGTGAATCAGTAGACGAAAGATTTTCCTCTCTGTATATCTGACTTTCCAATACAATAAATCTTAAAAAAATTAAATTAAAAAAGCATGGATGCACCATACATGTGATACCTTGGTCAAACACATCCTTTTTCTTTTCAGAGTTATACAGCAAAGTCATAAAAAGTCTTTTAAAAACAGTTATATCTGTATCATGGTATCAAAAGTGGTATCCTAAGATGTGCTGGCTTGCATATTCAATATATATATTTTTCCTTTTTAAAGATGTTTTAAACTGTATGATGCTAGTGCTATAGCATAGAAGGTTAAGTCTTCACCTTTAATGCCAGCATCCCATATGAGTGCTACTTCTAGTTCCCGCTGCTCCATTTTCTAATCCAGTTCCCTGCTAATGGCCAGGGAAAGCAGCAGAGGATGGCCTAAGTGGCTGAGCACCTGAATCCATTTGGGAGATCCAAAAGGTTCTCTTGGCTTCAGACCAGCCCAGCTGTGACCATTGCTGCCATTTGGGAAGTGAACCAGCAAATAAAAGATTTCTCTCTTTCTCTCTCTGTTACTGTGCCATTGAAATAAAAATAAAATCTTTTAAAAAATTGTTTGCTTATTTTTATCTGAAAGGCAGGAGGAGATGGCTTGTCCATCCACTGGTGTATTCCTCAACAGAGGGAGCCATGGCCAGGTGCCCCAAACTCAATTCAGGTCTTTCACATGGTTTACAGGGATCCAAATAGTTTAGGCATCACTGGCTGGTTTTGATGTGTATCAAAAAGAAGCTCGAATTCGAAGTGAAGCCAGGACTTAACCCATTTGCTCCAATGTGGAGTCTAGAAGCATCTTAGCTGTTGCATGCCCGCTACTTTTCTTAATGCCTCTTTAAAATAATCCTCCATGAATTGCTAAAAAAACACGAAACATACACATTATGTGATTTATGGTGAACCATATGTGTTGTTAATGTTTTCCTCCTAAGTTAATATTAGATAAACTAATTAGAGTTTTTCCCTTTAGATAAAAACTCTCTAAAATACTTCCACCCATATAACCCAGAGAAGGAAAAATCCACAAGAAAATTAGGACTGGTGATAAAGATAGGACTTTCTATTACGGTATTTCAGTTTAGTTTATAAAAGCCCCTGGCATTTTAGGCTGAAAGATCCAGAATTCTGTGATCCATGCCATGTAACCCTGGATCCTGATTGTAGGATTGTGGTTGCAGCTCTGGTTGGCTCAGTGACCCAGACTAAAGTAGTAGTCATTTATTTATTTATTTATGGTTTGAGCAATGCTCATCATTGTGACCAAAGGTAAAGAAAAACATGGCAAATCCCATGTTGACTGTTAAAGGTTTTGCCTGAAGTCACAGGTGTCTGATTTAAATCATGTGGCTACACCTGAGATCATATGGGCAGGAATATAGAACCATCCTATGTCGAAGAACATCAAATAAAGACTAAAAATGGCCTACTCCAGTATAGGTTTGGGCTAACATTTTATTCCAAGTACATGAAGTGTTTCAGAACTGTATTCAAGGGACGATAATGCCACGCATGAGATTGTTCTTATAACTCACTTAGGCAGGTTGTATTTTCCAAAGATGGCTGCAAAAATCTCTCTTAACTCACACATTTTAGTATTTTGCCACTCCCTATGAGGGAGCTTAGTTAATAATATGATAAGATTAAGTAATGTTGGCTGATTGTTGGAAATATATGTTATGAGTGAGTACCTGCCAGATACCACACTGAACTGTCAAATGAAGAAATAAAATTCTTGTTAAGCCACTGAAATATTACAGTTGTCTGTTGTAACATTTGTCATACCTTGAATGCATAGTTCAGAGTTAGGCTGAATTACAATAACAAATAGCATAAAATATCAATATCATATCCTAACAACCTTTTTATGTACAAGGTAGATCCATCAAGATTATACTTACCATAGTTACTCTAACAGCTAGGCTGATAAGAACTTGATCCTGACCTATACTTTCATAATTACCTCAGTAGTGAGAAAAAACTATAGTTGTAAAACACTGGCATTTAGGGTGCATATCTAATTTTCACTTCTACATATAGTTCAAAACTCAAAGTAAGTTATATGAACATTCTTGTCTTTAAAAAGAGCACAGAGTTTACTGTGTCCTAGTTTTGTACTATCATATTTGAGATATGGGGAAGTGGTAAACATATTTGGAAAAACAACACTAAGGGTATTCTGCCATACAGAAACTTATGCTACATAGAATTAGTGGTCATGTGGCAGGCAACCAAAAACAAGGTTATCAGCTTGGTTATGTGGAGAACCCTGGTGTCTAGTGTCACTTAGTATGATATCCATTGAAACGGGCCCCAGTGAGAAGAAGATAGACAAGGAAACCCTCAAGAACCTACCTCAGTGAAGGGCAGAGGGAGATTCTGTGTGTTGGCCACAATCATCTGACTTTAGCAAGGCAGTCCAGGAAGGGGAGTGTTCATCTGAGACTTAGTTGGCTTGCTAGAAGGTACAAAAGCATGCTAAGGAATTTTAGAGATCAAAGGCCTTTTAGAGGTAGGGAAGCTCATTGCTTCTAAATCCCATGTAAGAGATAAGTTGGGAGAAAGTTTTAAGTGACAAAGCAACATAAGATATCTTAGTTTTGTTTTTTTTAAAGATTCATTTATTTTTGTTGGATAGGCAGATTTACAGAGAGAAAGAGACAGAAAAAATCTTCCTTCTGTTGGTTCACTTCCCAAGTGGCTTCAATGGCTGGAGCTAGGCTGATCCAAAGCCCAGAGCCCGGAGCTTCTGGGTCTCCCATGGCCGTCCTTGAGTGTTTTCCCAGGCCATAAGCAGGGAGCTGGATGGGAAGTGTACAGCCAGGACATGATGGTGCCCATGTAGGATCCTGGTGTGTTACAAGGCAAGGATGATTTTTTTTTCGATTATTTGCAGCTTTTTATTTTATTTTAGTTTTGTTAATTTTGACAAACTTTACAAAGGGTCAAGAGTTACAGGAAAGTGGGTAAGACCACTGCATCTGGGTTATGGAGGGAGACAAAGGGACAAGTCCCACCCAACCTCCCACCCCATCCCAGGGTCCCTGACATGGGGCATGCTCCGAGGGCACTGCTTAAGTGGTTTCAATAGTTCAACAGTTCTGAATTGCTGCCAGACTCACCATTCCAAGCATGATGAAATCTCTCCAGAATCCACTGGCCACCTTAATCCATAGTCTACCTTAGGGTCCTCTGTTGTGGTACCAGGTGTCCTCTGTAGGCTCCAATGGACTGACAAGGCAAGAATTTAGCCATTGAGCCATCACACTAGGCTGAAGATAACTCAGTTTAAAAAAAAAATTAAAAGTAGCAAATCTTTGGTCAAAGATTAGATTAAGGGTTACCATGCCATCCAAATGGATTGTTTCAGACAGCTTCACAATAACCATCAAGCTGAGAAAAAAACGGGTCATAGGCATGAAAAAGCAAAGACGGTATTTCTCGAGATTATATAAAGAGTAAGATTGTGAAATTTGGAATCAGAACCTAAAAGCAAATTCCCACA